TGTGCATTAAGTTTGCAAATTTTGATTATGATTCCTTAAACTATTTAGGAATTATGAAATCTTTTAAGATAGTTTTTGTAGTAACTTTTGGTAACATCGAACTGTCTTTAAACATTTTTTAAAAATTCATCAGTTTTATTATTTAAAAAAATATAGTAACTCTCCCATTATGTAGTTTCTACGATTGTTATTTACGATTGTAGATTTAGCTTGAAGCGAGAATGTATGTTATCATTTCACCCCAAATTCTTCATTCAATGTTCGTTCCTTAGTCATATGTGTCGCTAGAACACAATATGTAGAGTTTTGGTATTCGTATATATATCAATATACGATTGATATATAGTAGATTAATATTCATTTTAGCTTGAAGCGCGAATGTTATCATTTTATCTCAAATTCTTCCTTCAATATTGATCTCTTACTCATATGTGTCGCTGAATCAGATAGCAATAGAATAATCATTAGCTTGCAAATTATTACTGATAAGATTCAATGTTAGAAAAAGTATTTTTGGACGCAGCTGCGATTACAGCTGCTACTTACTTTCCTAGACAGGCTAGTTTATTTTATTTATTTATGTGTCAACACTTGTATGTCGATGTCAATGTGTCTGCCTACATTGTTTTTGTTATTGTTTGTCGGTTGCTTTACATTGTTTGTATACAATTTTTACTCTTTGTCGCTTTTATTACGTTTTTAGAATTTCTCGTGTTATGTCCTTAAGTACATTTATTCGTACACTTAAGGATTTTCCACAACTCAGGACAGTAGAATCTCGGCACATGCACGGAATTGCCGTTGCCAAGCCATCGCCTAAATTGGTTTGTTCGATTTACTGTTGATTTTAAATTGCCAACAATTTAAGCCCCAAATTGGATGGGTTTTATTTACAATTTACAATAATTGCACAAAAGGACTTGATTGCCGGCAGCATTCTTCTATGTCGAGTAATATTTTTAAAAAAAAAATCAATGCTTTAAGTATTTTCGTTGAGTCAAGATTCAAAAAATTCTGAAGCAATCTCGGAAACGCTGTGGTACGCTTTTAGTTCATTAAAGCTATCGATTATTTTTCGATACAACAACGTGTCATATTTATTGTGCATTGTAAGTTGTTGAATAAAGTTTTGAACCGGCTTTCAAAGTGTTGGTAATGTTAACGAGGACATAGTGACAAGTAACTGTTGGAGATGTCATGGAAACGCCTGTAAACAAAAGTTAATGGGGACTAAGTAAAACGTTAGTAAAGTGAAATGGAAGCAACAATAGGAGCGCATGTATCGCTTCTATACTACCTCAGGTTGTTTGGACAAGTCGTCATATTAACAATAACGTTCTGATATTTAAGTAATTCTAATAACATTGATATGTATATAATTTTCTCGAATAATTAAATAAATAAATAAATTCAGGCAGTAAGGAATATGTTTTGCTTTTGTGAAATTTGGTCTCCATAATTGTATTGAAGTCAAATTATAGTTAAAAATAATATTCAATTTGAATGGTCTTTGATCATTTTCAATTAGATATTAAATTTTGGGTACGCAAAAACTTTTAATATTCAAATTTTAACATAAAACTTATATAACAACGGGCCATTATTTGAGCTTAAGTGGGCTTTAGGCACACGGCCGCCACTTCTTTCTAGGTTTTTACACAAATTGTTGATATCTATTATTTTTTTAGTGCTATTATCTAGCACCTTGACATTGAACATTTTTATGCAGTGGTTTGCTATAGAAATCTTATTCTTATTTTGTTATATATATTATTTTTACAAATGTTTCTGATAGATACTCATTGCAAAATTATTTCCGTTTTTGTTTGTTTTGTGCTACTAATTAGCACTTCGCTAAAGTTTTCATTCAAATGTTTAGGTAAACGGCTCGTTGGTGATAGGAAATTTTTTCTTTGTACTTGTATAAATTTTTTCAATAAAAAAAAATTGTTTATGATTTTATTGTTGTTATTTAGCACTTTTTTTATTTCATTGTTTAACCTCAATGGCAGTGCTATTAAGTAGCACTTTGACTTTTATTTTACTATTTTAGTATGCAGAGATGAGTTTAATTAAATGAAGCGAAGTTCTTCGCTTCATAATTGGTATGAATTAAGTTTAATATAAGAGGTTTTTTTTATTTGCATATAGTAGAAAATGAGGACATCTTTGCAACAAGTGAGACTATTTTGTAAGGCTTTAAATGAATTAAATGCTTAATTAAATGAATTAAGGTATACCAAAGTTATGTATTCGTTGCACAAAAATTAATCATGAGTAGGGATTGTCACCGTATGTAGTTTATAGAATGTACACGACGATTATCAGGCCCATCATAACCTATGGCTCTGTCGGCTGGTGGCAGGCGTTGGACAAAAAAAATGCAATTTGGCCTGCATTGAAAAAGTACACAGATAGATTAGTTTGATTGGGTATCTCCGGAGCAATCAATAGTACACCTCAAATAGGTTTAAATGTAATACTACATCTTCTATCATTGTATGAACACCGTACAATTTTCGTGGAGATCAATCAATTCAATAAATGTTGAGGGCTGGTCTAAAAAGTCTCCATTATTTGTATCTCAAGAACTAAGAAACAAAAACTAAAAGACATTCTCGGAGTATAGGCATATTGACTCGGAGTATATGCAAATACTTAATAGCGTCTCCGATGTGTTTCTCAGTCCATCGTAAATATTAAGGATACATTTATTATAACATTCTGACATTTTTTAATAGTACCTTTCTAAAGAACTTTTACTTTTACTGGACCGTAAGTTAACACTAAATTAACATTTTAATTTTTGCACTAACCTGTTGTTCCATTTTCTGATTTCGACTGCTAATTGCTGACATTTTGTTAAGATATTATTATTATTATTATAGATAATTGAATATATTTTTTTAGTTTAGTTTGAATTAACTAATGTTTTCTTAATGCTTTTGTTTATTTTGAACACCAACAATTACAATTTTAATAAAATTTTTTTTGATATTATTTACGATATTATTAGTATTCACTTATTCTTATTTGCCATTTTCAAAAACAACAACTGACATATGTAGTCTAATAGGCAACACAATAATTGTAAAGAGTGAGGTATGTACAACACAACAAACAACAACAAAACACGAATTCAAAACAAACGTTCAAATGTTGGCAGCTGTTATATTTACAATGAAATAAAAAGGAAAGAATATGATTTGAGGAGCGCAACGTGTGCAACTGCCTTGCCTGCTTATTGAATTTAGCGATGGTAGATCGTACACAACGGCAGCGGCAACTGTTTCGTATAAGCACAGCCGATAAGAACGCATACAGTGGCACTTAGCGCGATTTAAATGTACGGCAAGCCCAATTGGCTTGCATACAAATAATAACAACAAAATGAAAAATTATTGCAATTTTTAACAATTTCGCGTTAATTGAAAAAATTGCAGCATAACACGGGTATAAAGATTTCTGTAGTAAAAATAGTTGATGACTCGTTTATATACAAATTTTATTTTTTTTCTTTCAAATATATTTTTATTAATTTCGTATTTTTATATTAATTGTTTATTATAATTTTTGAAATACATAATATAGACTAACTTTCCGAAACAACCGAACATGAACGATTCACAACGTCAACTAAACTGTCGAACATGTTTCAAACAATTTTAATGCACAAAATTTGTTCATACAGGAGCACAACAGTAGTAAAAATGAAACCACAACGCTTTTACTGTTAATACTGTGCAGACAGGATATTTTCTTACATATTAACATGTTTGATTGCAGAAACAGTAACACTTAACAGCGCTGCTAAGTGTGCATTTCACTATTCAGCATATCAAATTGTGAGCAACTGGAGTTCAATTATTTTTTTTTTGCGTGCATAACTTCCTTATACTCTGTCGTTCTTTGCATGTAAACCAAACGAAAATAATTATTATTCTCCTTTTAATATTTTGTTGTTGTTGACAATTGGTTGTTTGTTCGATTCGAAAATGAAAATGTGTGTGGACAGATGCGCATACCGTGCGCTAAATATTGCAGTGGTTTGACATGGTATCTGTTATTGGAGTTGTTGTTGTTGTTATTAGTTTTCATTTATAAATTATTGAGATTGTGCTAAGCATGAGCAGATGAATTTAAATAGGAGAGTTTATCCTTTAGTAATAATATTTTTTATAAATGAAAAGATATAAATATATTACTTATTATTTATTTTTGTAACAGCATTATTGGTACAAATTTAATTTATAATTATAATTATTGTTAATATTATTAATTAATTATTATTAATTATATTATTATTAATTATTATTAATAGTTATTAACAATTATAATTAAAATAAATAAAAATTATTCCTCTATCTTCTAGGAGGAGCTTATGGCCGCAAAATAATTATAATTACACAATAGATAATTATGATAACAATAGATTATGATAATTATAATTTTTTTTTAAATAAATTTTGAACAACATGAATATGGTATTATAAATTTTAATATCAATTATTAACGTAACTAGAAATCTTAAGACTTTAACGTGCCCAAAACTTGAATAGTTAAAAAATACTTGTACTTGATTTCAGTTGAGTACTGACTGCTTGCTTGAATAAAGCTACAGGATTAATTTTTTTTTCGATGTAGTTTTGAGGAGCAAGTGCATTTATGTAGCAATGAAACATGCTGTATATAATTTATATATGACAAATTGTTAAACAAACCTTATTTTTATATAAATAATATTTAAAAATCACATTTCTTAATTCTAAGTCTAGTTCTATATAGTTTTTTCATATCAAAACCAACTAAATTATTATGTAGTAACTATTCTTCAAGCATTTAATATACCGTTTATATTAATATTTTTCGGTAAATTATTCCTATATATACACAATATATAATTTTTTAATATTTTATTGTAAATTCATAATAAAAAAATATAAAGAATTTCGATAAATAATTTAAATAACCAAGCGAAAAATATTTTTATTTTGTATTTTTTTGTGATTTTTTTATCTAATAAAATTTAACTTTTAAATAAATTTATAGACATTTCTTTATGTTCTCTTCACTTCACGGTAGTTTTCCAAATTACTCAAACACATCTTCGCCACCTTGATTTTCTTGAGCCTGTTCTTGAGCTGCTTGTTGCAATTGCTCTCCAATTTGTTGAGCCTCTTGTTGCATTTGTTGTGCCTCATTTTTCGCCATCTGTAGTTCTTGTTGTGTCTCTTGTTCTTCTTGTTCTATTTCCTGTTGTTGCTCTTGCTCCTCTTCCTGTTCTTGTTGCAACATTTGTTCTGCTTCTTGTTCGGCTTGTTGAGCTTCTTGTTCAGCTTGTAGTTGTTGATTGCTTTGTTCTGCTGATTCCATTGCACTCCAGTTAACTGGTACTTGATTCCATAGAGCGACTTGTATCGTTGCATTTGTTGAGTTCTGTGTCATCTGTATCAGATTTAATGAGGTTTGTAGATTGAGTGTGAGGGAATTTGTATTATAGCTGGCCAAATTCGTGGTATAGGTCTGTTGTGCAACTACAGTGGAGTTTTCGTTAATACAGAAGTCAGTTGTCTGGAAGTTGTAGTTCGATAAGTTGCCCTCATTGACAAGAATTTCACAACCACAGCTGCTAGGTGGGCAAATCAATTGATCACATGTTAAGGTACCTATTAGTATTTGAAAAATAATTTAAATTAAGTTTTATATAAAATGTTATAGAGAAATAGAGATTTAGTTATTACCATTAACATAGGTTACTGACAATACATCGATGTAGGTCGGCATGCCATAGCTTTGCTGGCCTAATAATGCCAATGCAAATACAGCTAGAAACTTCACTCCCAATATTGCCATTTTTCTATTTATAAGAATTGAATATTTTTTATTTGTTAAATAGTTTCAATGTCGTTTATGTGATTAAGAAACTTACTTACTTCGTTGACTTTCACTTTTTAACTAACAACATTTACAAATTCCATTTCATATTTATATTCTAAAATTTGTAGAAGTTATCGCTCATTATAATCCTTTTCGAAAATACTTTTCTGTTAGACCTAAAAAAGTACTGATAACAAGAGTAAGCCTTAATTATACTTAATATAGTGGGAATTGAAATGTGTACAATACCAAAACGTAAATAAAATTTAAAAATGTGATTAATTAATAATAATTCAATTAATCATATTAATCTTTTTGAGAACAAAAATAAATAGGTAGACAATGTGTGAATTTTTAAATAGATAGTTACATCTATATGCGTGTATATGCTGTACTTTAGGTAAATGAGTTGGTATAGATATGTATCTACTATTCTAAATGCATTTACTATATGGGGAATACCTTGACAAGAAGATGATCAATCAACACTACACGATCGTTTATTTCTTGAAGAGATAAAATAAAAATGAAATAATTTTCTATATTTATCCGCGAAATATATATTTAATCGTATCACCTAAACATTGGTGACTGATAAGGTAAAAAAGATTTTTGAAGTTCAATGCTAATTATTAAAAATTTGTAAAAAGATCGAGAATATCATAACTGGCTAGAGCTAGATATAATAATATTTTTGAGGTATGTATGTTAGGTTAGGTAAATTAAACTTTTCCATTCGGGGACATCTATTGCCAGTGTGATGCCATGTGTTACCATTGGTAAATAAAAGTATATGATAATATTATATGTATTAAACGTTTCATAGAATAATGTAATTAAATCATGACTGATGGTCTTAGAATACTTTTTCATATACATATATATATATATATATATATATATATAGGGACACTATCTTACATGGATTCATCTATATCTGTGAAGGAAAAGTTTGAATACTTTTTGACCAGTTTTTGATTGGTAAATCTGGGGTAACTTTTTTAATCGCGCTTCACTTTTAGTGCAATTTTCATTTTCGATTGGTAAATATTGAGCAAAATGTATAACACTCGAGATTAATTTGTAACACTCTAGATACTTTACCACAGTAGCAAGATTACCCTGAAATTAATAGCTCTTCCATATAATTTGACAGATAAAGTGTGATTTGGTTCTATATATGTATTTATGGAAAATATAAATGTCTACTAATACCTTTACAAAAATGTTAGATAATTCTAAAAATTTTGGATTGGGCAATAAAATTTGACTTATATATTACGAAAACGCTATTAGTCTTAAATTTCAAAAATTATTTTTTGATAATAAATTTTATAATTGTAAAAATGATAAAGAATTAAAAAAAAAATTAAAAATGTTCACTTCGTAGAATATCTAGTCAAATTAGTATAAGAAACCAAATTCTTTAATGAACTCTATATAAATCATGTATGCATTATTAAAAATCAATATATGAGTATTGAAGGAATTTAGTAAGTCATATCAGTTTCTTATTTAAAACAAAATAGTGTTGTCTTATTTAAAAAAAATTTAATATTGTAAATGCTTAAAACATAAAAAAAATTAACAAAATCAACAAATATCGTAAATTCTTAGAATAAACAATTTGTCGTAACAAATTTCTTAACATAGAAATAAAAATTTTCGTATTTAAATTTAATTCTCAGGTCTTTAAAACTCTTAAAACTACGAATCTAGCCTAAATCAAAGCTGAGCTTTTGTTTAGTTAAAATTTTTTCTATGAAAAAATCGTTTGAAACTTCATAGCTTAGGATTAGATTAAGTCAGAAAAATAAGTAAATAAGTTAGATCTGCGTTTAGTTGTTACTTAAAACTAGAGTAAAAATGGCTGCGGCGCAAATAACTACAAAATGTTCAAAATTTAACAGAAGTTAGCAGATTTTTGTATTATTTAAAAAACCGTCTCTTCTTCTTCGTTTCAGGTTCGGCAGGTGGTTCCACAGCAACTTGTCGTTTTGGCAACAATGGCGGCGGTTCAACATTGCTCCCATTTTCATCTCGACTCGACTGTGTATTTTGTGTTGGTGAATTTGGACGTCTTAGTATTGAAGGTAAAGTTGGTGGTGATGCCCTTGTTTCGTTTTCATCTTCAGCAATTTTGCCCAATCGTGAACCGTGCACAGAAGGTAAATCTGAAGGAGTTTTTATCTGTGAACCATTTTCATCACCCTCAGTCATTTCGTCGAGTTCGCTACCCACACCAAAACCAATAGTAGCGCCAAGTTTGGCACTGGCGTGTTTAAATGTGTCACTTAATTTGATTTGTACCACGTTGATGAACATGGAAGTCAAAGCCAAGCCAAAGATCAAATAAATTATACTGCACATCATAAAAATGGGATGATCGGGCACAAAATCACCAAACCCAATAGTTGACATAGATATGAATACAAAATAGATTGATTCAAAATAATGCCATTCCTCCCAGATTGTATATACAGCAGCACCAATCAGTATGTAGGATATTAATAAAACAGCGGCAAGAGATATAGGTAAATTAAACTCATCGTCTATTTCGAATGTCTCAGGATATGGTGAAGTTGGTGTTTCTGGATGTGAAGCACTAACTGATTTGCCCGGCTCAGATGCTTGTGACTCAATGTCGGTATCGGGACCCATGCTAAAGAAATGACTGGGACGACGTATGGCTAAATTGTAGGCAGTATTAAAGCCGCTTATTGCATCACGAACTTGTTGCTGTTTACGTATCTTTCGACAGGTGCCCGTATAGTATAGACGCCTAACATACGCCCATAGGAACTTCATGCCTCGGGTGAATAGTTTACCAAAATCAGCAAGGATGATCAAGAACATCGGAATGCCAATTATTGCATAGACAATTGTTAACGATCGACCAAGAACAGTTTTTGGAGTTATGTGGCCATAACCTAAAAAAGAAATAACAAATAATAATGGTTGTTAGAATAAATACATTATTTATAATAAACTTGTAAATTAATTTGCTTGGTTTTTAAGAAGGTGAAACCAGAACATAAAAAGCTAGACTTCAATATTATTGCTACAACACTTGAAAGGAGCTACCTACAGTGGTTAATGGCCATAGATTGTCAACAAATCAATCTATTGAGTTTTTAAAATAAATTATTCTCAACTCTTGAATTTAAATTCTGAAATACTTTTCATTGTGATTAATATAAAATAATAATTTGTTAATATATATAACTAAACAATAGAAAATTGTTAATAATGCCTCATAAATATTCGACAATAAAGTCCATAATTGCTGAAAAGAGTTATATCCATATTATACACATTACATTCATATAAAAAATATAGATACATTTGTATACTCTTCACAATCCTACCTATCGTTGTTACTACGGTCCAACAGTATAGTATACAGTTGACGAAATTCCATGACTTCTGACCTGGGTAACGGCGAATACCCAATTCCTGAAGTGCATGTAATTCTTCCTCAAATTTACGCAGTTTCTGCCTTGCCAACGATTTCCAGTCATCTTCTCTATAAATATTTTACCGGTTATGGATATGTACCACCTAAATGTTATCTCAGTTACCTCATATTATGACTGACAGTCCACAGATTGTCAACGAAATCGCGTTTGACTTTGCGTACTTCGCATTTGTAAATATTTTCAGAAGAACCTTCGGTATAGCGAAACATCAAGCCGCCGAATCCACACAACATGATCAGAGCGATGCCATGGGAAAAGCATTTATTGCGTAGTTGCCTCATTTCAATCAAACTGTGTGGATAGTCGCGCTTGAGTTGGGTCCATTGTGTTCTTGCGTCGGTACAAAATTGGCGCACAAAAGTTTTGCTGAACAATTTGTCGGAAGCTGGTATTAGCATATCGTGTTTGTCAACAATTTCGGTGGTATCAGAAGGCAGCGTTTCATTTGTCACTACTGTGGCAGAAGGTTGCTTTCTGAAGTACATAGATAACCTCTTGAAGATACCTGGTTCGGTAGGTGTAGTAGCTGTTGATTGATTTGTTTTCTCATCGCTTAAATTTTCCATTGTTTTCTTGACTATAGCTTTGGTGGGTTCAACTGCAGTTTTATTGTTGTCGCTCTCTAAGCTGGATTTTCTTCTGCGCACAATACGCGTATTTGTGTCCATGGTAAGACTCGCACGACGTTGCAAGATTTCTGCATTGTTTTCAGTAGTTGTTGGTTTTGGCGTTGATGTAGCGGTTGTGCGAACTTTTGTGGTGACTGGCTTTGAAGTCGCAACTTCCCCGTTTTCAGTTTCTGCTGTAAGTTTTCGTATTATTTCTGCGCGCTGCTCAGGTGTTTTAGAACGCCTTTGTGGTCGAATTGGTGACAGCGAGTTGTTCCTGCTTACCGCCTGTCGTGCATTTGGTTTAGGCGGCTCTGGTGGTGGTCCGCGTAAGCTCTCTGTATGTAAAATTGCACGACTTGTGGGAGATAATTGTTTTGTTAGCCGTTTATGTGTTACTTCCTCCACATCAGCTTCAGATGATGAGAACTGTGTGGAAGATTCTTCATATCCACTGTGACGCGCACGTCGACGTACTGTTGTGGGTGCATCATTGCGCTGCAAACGCAAGCTGTGTACTAAACGCCGCCTTTCCTCTGCATCGGCTGGTAATTGTATTCGATCGCTGAGCTTACGATAGCTTTGCAGCAAACGCTTGCGTTCCTCGTTGTCCAACATTTGCTTATGCCGCTGTTTATGCTCACGCTTTTCACGCTCAAATTGCTGCTTCTCAGTATCGAAACGTTTGCGTTCTTCTTCAAAGCGGCGCAAATTGCGATCTAAACGGCTAAGATTCTCATCGGCTGCCGGAATTGGAGCATTCTCAGTACGCATATCAGGCGAAAGTGTGCGTTGCTTAGCGGTGGCAACTTCACATTCGCTGGATTCTTCTTTGTTCCGTGGTGATGATAAGCTGCGTTTAGCTGTACGTATAAGATCACTCGCTTCTGGATTTGAAAGACGTTCAGCTTCTCTTGGCTGCGAGAGACTACGCGCTGCTGCGCTGGCAAAAGTTTTATCTCTTCTGCGTAAAATTTTACTTTCATGAGCTGACATACTGCCCGGCGGACGTATTTGCATGCGTACAGTTTGTGCTGCAGTCTCTTCAGATGCAGTCGTGATATCCAATTGGCTGCTATCGTCTTCGGAATATTTCCGTCTGCCGTTCTGCACGAGGTGTGCATCTGGTGTTTGCTCACGTGTCGCACGAACGGGAACCCTACGTCTTCTTCGTACTGTTGTCGTTTCGTGGTCCATTTTAATATTTTCCACAGATACTTATTTTTGCAGACCCCAATTTGAAGGCACCAGGGTTATATTTTTTATATAATTACTTTTAAAAATTAGATTTTAATAATTTTTTGTATTTAGCTTAATTTCCATATGATTTAGTTTCACTTTAATATTTTTGTGAAAGCGTCTCCCGCACTTCCGAATCTATTTTTAAAACGGCCGCAAGCGATCTTTCCACACACATGCAATGGCACATAATTTGATTGTCTTTATTTATGGCTTGCCAAATTTTTCTTCTCCGAAAATTTTCAAAATTATATCATTTTGACCCACATAAAGAAAAAATTTGCTGGAGTTTTTCACTTTTCATCCAAATATCTGTTATTTAATTTTTAATTTTAATAGCGCTTATAATAAGAATTATATATTTCCACATCAACAAATATTTTGCTTCTTATATATTTTTCATAAAATATATGTGGTCTCTTGGTCGACCCGTCTGAAATCACATCGCTCGTTTTCCGTTTTAGCCACGTACGCTTCGTGGTACAAAAATAAACTGAAAAGGCAAATTTTCAGATTTGAGATGAAATATTTTTCTTTCATTGTCGGAGCAGAAAGACTGTCGCAGTCTGAAGAAAGCAGCTGAGCATTGCAAATATTTTGGTATGAAAAATTGGTTATATATGTTTTCGGTCCTTTGTTTACATCTAGATAAATATTTTAGAAACTCGTAAATAAATTATGTTTGAGAATTTCGGTGCACTTGTTAGGTGATGTCAAGCAGCCAAATTACAAGTCCAATTAAATCATCAGCGATGATGAGTCGAGAAGAGAATTAAATATTTTAGATTCTTTTTTTGAAAGCAAAACTAAAAATTTATGACGTCAATTTATTATTGGCAATTGCAGGTAGTTTTGTTTATTTCTTATTCGATAATTTGATACTAAAGTATTCTGAAAATCAAACCAAAATTATAATTGTTTACCAAGCTCTATTGTTTAGAGCTTCTTTAAATAATAAATCTGCTTTACATTTTACTTTATATTCAATTTATTTTATATATATATTATATGTGATCTGAGACTTCGTATAATATTTAAATTACTAATATTTAAAAGTTCAGATGTTATGGTCTGATATCGGTTTTACATTTCATTGCTCATTATCATCAGCTTTAACATAGGCTGAAACCGACCAGCAGATCTTATAAGTAATGCCTAATACCTATAAATTGTACACACCTTTTTATTAACAAACAAGATTCCGTTTTCTGTCAATGCCTATCTATGCCCAACTTCAAAAGTCTTCTGCATCTATTACTTGGAAAAGGTGTTCACGGAAACATTCATATCTAGTTAGACATTGTGTTCTAAGACTGCAAACGTGATGCTACCAATGCTGTCATTTATTGTCAGCAGTGATGTATATTTCTAGATAAATGGTCTCTCTAAGAATTTCTCAAATTGTTTATATGATCGCTAAGGACTGTTCTTCAATTAATATTTGATCATCTAACAAAACTGCCTTTTTAGAAAGGCAGAACTCAGAATTCAAGCATATTTATCAGACATGAAATATTATATGATGTTTATGAAATATCTTATGTTACTCGCTCTTATGTGAAGTCAAATTTTTTAGTTGCTGGACTATGTGAGTTTTATTGTAAAATTTTTATTTAAAAATTGTTTTTTATTCAGAATTGAATTCTTGAAATTGGCTTGACTGTTGTTGCTAAAGAGCTTCCCACCTCCCTACTGAAGCTTTGGTTTTTGTAACTAAACAATATAAAAATATTTAAAAGGTATGATAACTCAATAAATAAAAAATAATTAATTTTAAATGAAGCGACTAATTAACATAATATTTTTTAATTATAAATTAATTTTCTCCATTATTACAAAACTATTTCTACATCTATTTTAAAGTAGCTTCCATTTAAATGAAGCTTTCGTATTATTTCTAAGACCGTACTTTTACGGTATTTGTTAGAACGGTATTTAAGACAAAAGTTTTGGTTGTTGTCTTTACTATTTAAATTGTGAAATTTATTAATTTGTAATGACATATGGTATTTAAATTGTTGAAATTACATATTACAATTTATATTAGATAATATTAGAAAAAAAATAAGTTCGAAAAGTGGTTCTCTAAGTTAGGGAAATTATGATTTTGATATAAGACGTAATGTACTGTTTTAGTCATATAACAACCAACTTTATTTCCAATTATTTATAAAAGTTGTTACAAATGCAAATTAATGTTTGGTGCGGTCGAAAATGAGAGATCAGAACAACCCAGGGGCACTGGGCGGTTGTATAGTTTGAAATCTGACAGATGTGGACTCCGTAGTGAATGTGAGTTCCTAATGGTTAGATGACTGATTAATATAATATAATGAATATTATTGTACTATAATATATATTATTATATTATAATAAAGATTATTATATAATAATATATATTATTACAACATTTATACATCTGATATTCCAATGTTAGGTCCCTCGACTCTGACGTTATATGCTGACGATACGTTTAAGTTATACTCAAATAAATGTACTCTCAACATAACCAACACACTTCAAGAGCATATAAACCTCATTCTGGAGTATTTCCAGAAATGGAAAATAAAAATAAATTATGAAAAAACTAAGCCTCTGTTTATA